TAAAAAGAGCCAAAATGTTCTAAGCAAAGAGAAACTAAAAAGAGCCGCACTTTGCTAAGCAAAGAGCCGCATTTGGCTCAAAGAGCCGCGATTGCCCACCGTTGTCATATTTGATTCCAATAAATTAATGTTCCGAGCTTGTCCTCCAATTCGTGTTCTGCTTCTTGATGATGTGACACAAATGGAGAGATCTACACTTTTACTCGACCTTAGAAACAGATTTTTAATGCCACAAGTACCCTCGGAAATTTGATATTGTCTACCACTACTGGCTACGGCGGCAAGATCAATACTCAAATCCGCATAAAGTCAGAAAAAATTAAATAAAGCATTAAAAAAGTTAACATAAACGTAAGTTTTTCACCGATTTTTAATTGTTTACCTTTTGATTAAAAAAAAAACATTGAACGTATTTTGCTTTGCTCTTTTCTAACCCCGTTTTTGTGACCTTTGACCACGAGTACCTTTTTTCCCAGGTATCGGATCGATGAGGACTTTTTAGATTTCATTTATGATGGTGATTTGAACAATCCTACCAATTTTCAGCTGGGTGGGAATTTTTGTAACCTCGAATGTCTAAATTGACCGGACTATAATAGTTTTATTGTAATTTTTGGTCATGATTTCACACCAACATAAGCATTTATTTTGTATGAAAACTATGTAAAACAAAACCGATTTATCCGTTTTTTTCTTAATTTTAAAATCGGGAACAGATTTTTTCAAATTGCAATTTTTCGAATACATACATATCGCACCCCGTCTTCAAAAGAGTCACAACTCAAAATAATACGTTCGTCAGAAAATGCGAAATACTATTTCGTAACACATGCTATTCATATGGGCAAAGGCGACTTTACCTTAGGTATTTTTAACAAATTATAACACAAATTTGCTTCAGCTTTTGCAGAAAGGTAAATAAAAGCTCTGTGTACATTTTTAGCGCATAATTTAACAAATGTCAAATTTTGAGTTGTGACTCTTTTGAAGACGGTGTGCGATATGTATATACATTAGAGTGGTCCAAAAACAGTAAAGTCGAATCGAAAGTCAAAACGAATCGAGATAGATATAGACAAATGTATACATAAATGATCAGAATGAGAAGAGAAATCGATTAAGCCATGTCTGTCTGTCCGTCCGTCTGTCCGTCCGTGCGTGTACACGATAACTCGAGCAAAAATTGAGATATCTCAACGAAATTTGGTATGTGGGTTTCCATTTATCCAAGGTAGGTTGGTATTGAAAATGGGCGAAATCGGACTGTAACCGCGCCCAATTCCCATATAACGGTAATTTTCAGAAATACGAAAACTGCGATATTTTAGTAACTACTGGAGATTATTCACTCAAAATTGATATTTATAATAAGTTTTAGACGAAAAATAAGAATATTATAAATTTTTGGAAAATGGGCGTAGCCACGCCCACTTATGGTTACATGTGTATATCTTGGTAACCGCTGCACCAATTTCTTCCAAACTTGGCACAGTTATTGGCCTTGGTACACCATACCAAATGGCCCAAAATTTTCAAAATCGGACAATAATCACGCTTACATTCCATATAACGGTAAATAAATAAATAGGGGTATATATTTCGGTATAGAACAATCCTAGGGGGTGGAGACATTAAAATTCCGCATTTACTTTTTCACACGCATTTTGGACATTTTACACATGCATACTATCCACTGTTAAAGTACCCGAAGAAGTTTTTTTTTTTATTAAATTATTTTTTAATTTTTCTGTGCATATAGAAATATACATATTTCTATTGTTTTTGCCAACAAAATTCAGGCAAAATAAAATCCACTGAAAATAGTTAGGCCTTTCAAGGTCACAAACGGACCACAAGTAGCAACTCCGGGAGCAAGAGCAGAGCAATAGCAGCCGGAGCGGAAGCAAATAAATAGCAATATTAGAAATTTTTGGTTGTTTTCTGCTAATGCTCCGGCCAGCGTTGCCGAAATCTTTCACTGAAAAATCGTCAATTTGCCCAAAAAAAATTGTCATTTCAGCAAAAAAAAAGTCAAATACTTTTTATTGGCTGCATTTCTTTATTCATTCTGAACGTTTGGAGTACACTTTTTTGTTTACTTATTCTTTAGAACGTTCCTGATGATATGTTAACGTTTATTCTGGCTGTGAAATGGGATTATCTGGAATGTATAAAGAAACGCAGCCATTATTTTTTTTTAGCCGACTTCAAAAAAAGGAGGAGGTTATCAATTTGCCGGAGTATTTTTTTATGTATGTTACCGCATAACTTCAGACCACGTTAACCGATTTTTATAATTTTTAAAGGAAAGGTGGTACCGCAGTAAAAAAAAACGTAATTTTGGGAGAAAAATCGTCAAAACGTCATTGGGCTAAAATGACGTCAAAATGACGACGAAATCGTAAATTCGGCAACGCTGGCTCCGGCTACAAATAGCAATTCGTCTGTTTTCTTCGTTTCGCTACCTGCTTCGTGGTGCAACGCAACGTTGCACGAAGCAGTGTTGCCAGAGAAAAATTTCGTTTGGAGCAAAACGGTCGAAAAATAGCTAAAAAGAGCAGAGCTACATATTTTTGTTAAGGTTGAGCCTTAATTGACGTATACCAAATACTACTAAAACTTTCTGGAGCTAAAAAAGTGCTAGATAAATTTGAAAAGAGCTAGGAGCTAAAACCCAATTTTCGGAGCAAAATAGAAAAATAAAGAGCTAAATCTAGCTCCAAAAGCACCAAAATGACAACACTGGCAGGAAGTAACACAAGAAAGATACTACTGTGCAGTGTTGCCACAAAAAAAGTACCAAATTCCTCAAAAACAAATGAAAAATGCCAACAAATTACTCAAAATATTACAGATATGAGTATTGTATACTGCATACTATTTTCAGATACTTAGTATAAAAATTAATTACATTCTCCAATTCAATTGGTACGTTTGTTCTTGCGGCTCAAACAAAGTATCACCGTTATATTTTATGCCTTGGTTTGTAAAGATATAACATTGCTGCAACTATATCAGTGCTCAATCTGGTCCTCAAGTCAGTCCTGCACATTTTTAAACTACTAAATATACGTTTTACTGAAGCATTAGAAAAGGGCTATATTAGTAATGCAGATATAATTGTTTTAATTGGGAAACTTATACGAACCTGAAGAATATTTTAATTCAAAAACTTTTTTCCTATAATTTTCGGGATCTAATGAAGAACATCCTCGAACAATGCAAGTTCTCTCCATTCGATACCGAGATTTTCCAAGTTCAAAATAAGTTGAAAATATAACGATGCAATGAAAAAAATTATCGCTAACATTTTGAATATTTAGCAGCAAATCCAGATGTGCTTAAGAGCGAAAAACACCACACAAGCGGTTTGACAAACCGAGCGAAATATCCCTTTGCTTAATGCTATTTATGTTTTCCACGGGGGTGTTTGAAGGTTTGACAAGCCGTTTGAGGGAAATGTGAACAAACATCAAAATTGTTTGATTTTCTGGCCGCCATGTTGACGTTTGATCAAACCGCTTACGTTGTGTATGATAAAATCGCCTCATTCGCAACGGAATTTTCACCGAATGAGGTCGCAAGAGAGAAAAATCGAAGAAAACCAAACCCTTTTACATTGCGAACCGAAAGAAAACTAAAATTCCTTGCATGTACGAGTCATGTTTGCATGGTGTAGGGCGAAATCGGAAAATTAGGTTTGAAGAATGTTTGACAAGCCATTTGTGTGGTGTATTTCGCTCGTTTTAAAACTCCGGAAAGCTTTTTGTTCAAAAATTTGCAGAGCGATTTAACAACTCTGTTGTGTAAAACATGGTTGCATTTGTTATCTGCAAATATATCGAGAAAAAATTCCTCAAAATAAAAATCCTCAAAAAATTCTCAAGCGCACCCGATATTCCCTACGTTTTGAGGAATGACTCACAAAGTGGTCACACTGCTACTGCGTTTTGTGTGCCTGGCTCTGCTACTCATCTATTCACGTTGAGAGCAGTAGCCAAGGCGAATTTATAACGGGTGNGATGGCGAATTTCGATTTTCGCCGAGGTACGTCTTAATGTCAAAATGATGTGTTTGTTGTAAAATGAATTCGCCTTGTTTACAACAAACACATCATTTCGTCATTCAGTAGTACCGCGGCGAAAATTTAATTCGCCATCAACACCACCTTGTATAAATTCGCCTTGGCAGTAGCAGTAGCAGTGCAAAGTTTCCGCTGCTACTGCAGCTGTGAAGTAGCAAATGCAATCACTGATTGTAACTTTTATTTTTGATCGAAAATATAACGGTCGTATTTTATTCTCTTTGACTAAAAAAAATAAAAGTCAAGTTTTAAATTTTATATTTGACTGAAAAAATGAATATCAAGCTTTAACTTTTATTTTTTACCGAAAAAATAAAGGTCATATTTTAACTTTTATATTCGACTGAAAAAATATAAGTCAAATTTTAACTTTAAGTTTTGACTGGAAAAAATAAAAGTAAAATTTTATCTTTTAATTTTGACTGAAAACAGATCGGTTAAAAAATAACAATTATTCATTGACTGAAAAAGAGCATAACAGTTATGGTCTCTGGAAAAATCAACTTCCAATATTCGTAATTATACATACCTTATGACAGAACTAGTCGCATTTCCATTGACCTCAGAAACTCAGTCATATGGGATCTTATGAAGGTTTAATAACTTTTCAATGGAGAACTTTTATAAAAAAAAATTCCGCCAATTTCCGCCGCCAGAATCTTTATCAATGGTTTCAAAAATGTATTCAGTCTAAAAAATGTGTAGTTTCCATGACGTGTTCATCTTTTTGCCAGCTTTTTAGATTTGTCGCCCACTTTGCATCGTCAAGTTTTTATTTTTGCTTCACACTGTACATTTAAAAAATTATGGTTCGCCTATGCAGTCAGATACTATGGCTGAATGGCTATAAACTCATTTTTCTCTCACTGGACGAGATTACTTGCTTCTATTGACTACTAACTACATATGCATTCACTCACCTATTGTCATCTAACACTGAATTCAATGCTTCAATCCACTCTGGATCAATGCTGCCGTCACACACTATCCACGAATGAACATTTGACGCCTCTGCATTCACTATTACAGCAGTATTAGTTAACACGCCATCCATCCATTGACGGGTATCTGGGTCAAGGCATCCGAGCAATTGCACGCGACTCATCGATTTTGGATTGATTGTATGAAGACGGATTTGTTGTGAACCCGTTGGTGCCGTTCCTGACGATGCCAATTTCGATGCCGTTGTCATCAAAGCTTGTCTTAGCAATGCGATGACTGTGGATTTGCCGCATCCTGGTGGGCCCATCAACACTACGCCCATACGCTTGTTGAGTTGTTCGTGCAACTGTAGCGCCTTCTGCATTTGCATGTCATTGACGCAGAGTCCGAGTATTTCACTGGCCTCAACTAATGCCTGCTGCAATTCAAAATTGGTTTGCATGACTTTTCCAATTTCCGGATAAACGTTTGTCAGTAGCATATCAAAGTGCGCCACATCGTGTTGGTGTAATTTGGAGAGAATGGACATGCGTAACATGCGTACTACCACTGACATTTCCATATGCAAGCCACTAGCGGCGTCTTCAGCTGTTGCAATATCTACATCACTGGCGGCTAAGTTAACACTGTTGTGCTTTTTGTTGCTATTTAACTCAGCGCCGCAAGCTAATAAAATGGTTTTCAACTCACGTAAGCCCCAATCGTAATGCCGCTGGAAAGACAACATTTTTGTGCACAAATCGAAGAGTTCGACAATACGCTCGGCAATTTCGTTGGCGTGCTGAAATCCCTCCACAAAAAGCATGACTCGTGAGATTTCCAATGGCTCGGGCTGTTGCATCACAATAGGACGAAATAACGCCTGAATGTTTCCCGGCAACTTTTGACGACCACCATAATCGGCGCAAGCTGGATTCAAGGTGACAAATATGCCGCAATGCAGACTTAGTTTGATCTGCAAAAAAGAATTGGAAAAATACAAGATAATTAGCCCTGTTCTGCATTCTGACAATTGGAAATTATTTCATTTCGCCTTGTTCTACATTTCGATCAACCTCGAATCGGAATTCTATCGGGAATTAGATGTTCTGCATTCCGAGTATCTCAAATTTTTTATCGGAAATATTCCGATCAAGTAAAAGCCAGTGGAATAGAAAAAGAACAAAACAAAAACACAAATATAAATGTAAGTGATCAAAGGAACGCTTCGAACTTTAGCGAACAACGAAAAATGTAAAAATTATAAATTAAAAAAATTAAAAACCAAATTAAACTACGCCAGCTTGAGTTGCAGCTCGAGCGTTACGAATTTTAAAATAGTAAAAAGTCCTAAAATGGTTATTTTAATTAAATAGGGGTAATTTTATTCGCAATTTCGTATCCAATTACACTGTGGCACAAATTCAGGTTAGCAAAAGTTAGGTCGATTCTGAGAGTGAGGGGTGAAAATAGAGGCTAAATTAGAAGACCCGTATCGCGGCGTTTGTTTATGTTAGTTCGAATTTTTTTAAATCAACCTTCGAGCTTTGCAGTCAATTGCCAATTTTCAGCATATTGTTTATATGGTTTTTTGGCTATAACTCGTTGACTAATTGATATTTTTTCAATCTGTTAAAGTCAAATTATTGCTAGAGACCTGTGTAACAATTAAAATTAAAAAAAATTGATTTAGAAAATTTTTGTAGTGGTTATGAAGCAAAATGTTGGAAATTTTTTTTTCATGCTTTTTCACATATTTTCCACAAAACTAAGTCTTTTTTGCTTTCTGTTTGATCTATAATATGCTTCTCAGTTTCTTCAATAAATTTCATTTGAAAAGAAAACAATCATAATACAAAACTGGCGTTTTCCAGCTTAATATTAATTTACTTCTCATTTCTTGTGTACCAATTTTTTCAGTGTTGGTTTTGAAGAAACATTGTAAAAGAAATTATAAAAATATGGAAAAAAATATAATTTTGAAATGTTAGTTATGAAAAGTTTTAAGTAAAAAAAATTAAATAAATAAATTAATGATTTGGCCATTTGCCAACAACAACACTGCTCTCTCTAATATCTTGGTCATCGTCATCATCATCAGAAAGGTCGATAATTTCATCCAACAGATATTCTGGAATTTCATCTTTGTCTTCCCCTTCTTCCTCGCCTTCCTATTCTTCAAAGGTGTTTTTATACCACCAACAAATTTTAGCGAGTATTGCATCTGGAGATTTCTTTCCTCTGTACTTGAAAGGAAAATAGTTTTCAATCGTTAACATGTTTAAATTGTGCACTTTGACAAAGATATTAGAAAAATCTAGGAATTCAAAATATGCAAACTCTATAGTTACCTTATTTCAAATGGAAGCGCAGTTTGGTGATAACGTTCGCCTTGCTCATCAGATTCAATTGGCAACTGTTGAGCGAGTTGATCAAGATGCTGATGCAAGAGACGAATTTTGTACGACATATTAACCCCAATTTCATCGAGAGTTGCCAACAGGTTTGCAACAGATTGCCTGTAGTTGTCTTTGCGTTCTTTACCCACCCCGCTGACGCCTATAACAAAATCAATTAATTGGTTTTTTCTTGCATTATAATCGTTCAACAGTTGCCAACTGAATCTGATGAGCAAGGCGAACGTTATCACCAAACTGCGCTTCCATTTGAAATAAGGTAACTATAGAGTGTGCATATTTTGAATTCCTAGATTTTTCTAATAT